TATAACTTCAATTTGATCTTTTTTACGTTATTGACTCCATACTCCCTCTCAGAATTATCCCTCAAATAAGTCACAAAATCAAGAACATACAGTCCATGACTTGGAGCATAAACCCTTAGAGAGCCCATTTTAAGGTCTTGGAGTGAGAGTGGATGTCAAAAAAAATCATCCAAAACATAGAAGATAAATTCCTCAAAGACTTCATCTTACCTATCTAACCTTGTTGCAGTGTAGGCTTAGAAAGAATATATCCATGTTTCTTGTCATTGCATGTATCAATTTAAAATGTCACTGCTTTTTAAATTTCAATTTGGCAGAAAATGAAATTTAAAAAAAAAATAAAATTTATTGAAAGACCAATATAAAATCACAGTTTTGATGGCAATTTTAAATAACAAAAAAAAAATATGCACAATTTTGGGACACAAATTGACCAGAAACTTGTTTTCTTTTCTTTCTAGGCTGCTGTAAAATAATACTCAATCATGACCACAAAGTCATTCCCTTGATTTTTAAAAATATTTATAAATTTCAATAGCAGTTGAATCAACCAGCCAAACACAGTAGTTCATAATAATATTATTTAAATGTTCCTATGTTATTCCATCGGCCAATAGAAAATCTTGTTTAAGTTTGAATTTTATAAATATTTATAAAAATCAAAGGAAGGGGTTTTTGGTGGTGATAGTAAAATAAACTCATTGTAGTTCCAATTTAGTAATTACAAAATACAACAGATGCTTAAATTTCCCTACAAAGATACCATACACACACTGAACACCGGTAACTTACATTACAGCTACAAATATCTGAGTCATTGTTCCCTACCCTAGTCTGCAGCATGGAAATTAAATTGCTAATTTCACCATTATTGTTAGAAACCAGTGCAAACATAGCCATCTGTCAGACAGAGAGCAGATCTCTTACAGAGTGCACATTATTGTTAGGAAACCTTTTAATACTTGATGTTTGCTATTATTACCACGATCTATGTAATTAAAGTTATCAAATGGATTTGCCAATCAATCATTTTTAACAATGGCAATAGGATATGGCATACTTAAAATCAAAATGTTGATTTAATTTCTCGTTCATGCGAGTCTAATATGCTATTTTGGATTTTAAACCTTTTTTTTCCCTCCATTTATGCTTTACTTATGCTCGGACATTTTTGCTTAATGGTTAGAGCAGTGTTTTGGTGATTTTTGTTTTCAGTACAGTAACTAGCATTTTAAATCTAACAGATGAAAAAAGGGTTTATTGTAATTGTGAGTCTTATATTTTGTTTTTAATATTATCCAATTTTTTTTTTATCATATGTGCATCTTTTAATTTTGTTGTACATGTTTTTGCTAGGTTGGTTATTTTAGCAGTTTTCTGAGCAAGAAGTTACATTTTTTCACTAATTTAATTTTGAAACAAAAATACTTTTATAATACCCTAGATTATTAAAACTGATTTGTAAAGTCAACTTTTTAAAATTGTTACTGTAATAGACTTAATATTTTGATTGTTCACCTCACTGATTCAATATATGTCTGTTTTGAGTACCATAGAATCTGTCTTAGAAGCCGCATCCCTAATAGAAGTCACACACATTCGTCTTGAACAATTGAGAACCAAAAATCCATGATTTCTCATATGTGTAGATGTTCTAATAGAGGCCACATTCCCTCTGTTGCATTGTACCATTTTAATAGAAACCGCGGCTTCTAATACAGATTTTACAGTAATATCAGGGTTGTAAAGTGCTCTACTAGCTAGATTTCTGTAATATGCAGTGTATATAAAGTAGGCTACATGTGATGATAATGACTCTGGATTGATGGGATATTTAAGATGGTATAATACCGATACTATAAAAAAAAGTTTACATGGGGATTGAAAATATCCTGCAAATGATCCATGATCAGTTTCACATAATTCTTTGTGTATTATCCCATGGCTCGGCTACTTTATTTCTGATTTTTGTTATTCTTCTTCAACTGTAATTTGTACACCTGTGTGTACCTATAACACCACACCCTGTGCCAATTCGTGAAGAGAAACATTCTGTGTACTGTAGACAATCTATTTAGGTAAAAGACAGAGGTGTGTGTATGGTCAAAATAATTTATATTTTAATGATCAAATATACATTAAATGAAGTGTGGGGTTTGAGTGTGCTTCTTTTGGAGATGTGCAAATACAGGATATAGGGCTAGGCAATTTTTCTTTAGATTTAAACTGTTTATTGGTGCACAGTTTGAATGATGCCTTCCAGTTACAGGCAAAATAACACCTGCCAGCACCATTTTTTCAACTTTCTGGATTCTAGTATAAAAAGGATATAAATAAAAAGTGAAATAAATCATGTGGGATGTAATTTTGATGGAAAAGTAATAAAGGGCTCAGTACAAATGTCGATTGAAGAAAAAATGTGTACATTTTTCTAGAATATGTGTATGTGTATTCTACAGTTGAGATTTCATGCATGACGGCACTCTGTTAAGATTTGGTCAAAAGCTGATTTTTATTACCATCATGTTATCAGCATTTTCCATCCTTTGCAATAAATCGCCATGGAAATCGATTGAAATCATTGTCAGTGATGGATAGTTGTTACCATAGCAACCAATGAGTTCTGTTGCTCTGCTAGCTTTTATGCTTTGAGGGGGAAACTGACATGATTGCTTCATTTTTGAGTTTATGAATTACGAGTTCCTTTTGCTAAGAAGTCTTCTTCCTATACCTTTTCAAACATTTCTGTTAATTACATTTTTGTACTTCCTGAAAAAATACTGTACCGGTAGGCGATGTTGCTGCTAGATATTTTGTAATTTGATGAATCAGCGTGATTCTACTACGTAAAATGTTTACTTACCCCAAATTCAAGAAAATTAACTGTATAATAAATACAAATGCTGTAAGTCATTATAATCTGTGTAAAATCCATTGTCGGAGCCTGCATGTTAGGGCTTGAACATGACAGTTGAGAGGGCAAGCATTTTCAAGGCCAACATTTTATAAAGTTAACATAGGGAATTTCAAGGCAATTGTACCATGTGTTTTTACATTTTGCAATTTGATAATTTTCGCCACAGTTGTTTAATATATATACTCAGTGAATATACTAGTAATTGGGAGGAGGGGGGGGGACTGAATAAGACTATACATTAGTACATGTAAATGTGTAGGTATAAAATTGTGTTCATTTATTTTCTTATATTTATTTTTTGTTTTGACAAACGTTCCCTGTATAATGTTAACATTAATTAATAGTCATTATGAATTTTACCAATATGCAGGCATGGTAGTTGCTCCGTGGCATTTTATAAAAACATGAGATGCGATAGAAAAATTGCTTTGTTTTCTCTTACATATACCATGCAAGGATTTTTCTCGAAAAAATGAACAAGAGGGAGCACACACAGGCGAGGGAGTGAGCGAGAGTAGCTAGCACAGAAACAACATGGCGGATCGATCTGGAAACGCCATATTGGAAGGTTTCTGTGCTGTTTTAACAGTGTATCTATCGCCATTGAAATATTTTTAGAGTAATTTTAGTGTATTTGTCAGCTGGTGTTGCTTGGGAAGTTTTCATGGAGAAAATATATTCAAGAAAGATTTCATGCAGCACGGAAGTGCGCGGCTCAAGAAATATTTTTATGACTAGAAAGTTCAGTAATTCAGTAAGAGGGCACCAGTGGAGAGTATCAGGGCACTGCGCACCTGTTCCCCGGTTTAGAAAAAAACCCGACATAGGTATAACACATTGGGTGGGGATTTTTATTTCAAATGTAAAAGGCTTAAAGTTGATTGTAAACAGCTATTACATTCATTGTTCACCTTTAGCATTGAAAATAATAAGTCATTTTAATAGCATGTTATTATAATATTGAAGCCAGGGACATTAGAGCTAGCTTGGATCATACCCTAGAGAGTAATTACAACATTACATGGTTCAGTAGTGGTTGTTAACAGTATACCATTCTATTAATACTGAAGCAGTGCCATGGGGATTTGATGCTGTGTAACGACAGATTACTTGTCTACTTAAATTACACATAACTGTAATCCCAATAGGCTCTGCTGCACAGAATTGTGGATTTGTTGTAGATATCATCCATCATGTATGTTTTATGTCTGAAAAAGATGGTAAGGTATAGGGAAAGAAATAACTATTCATGCATCAGGGTTTTTTTTTCATTTGTATGAAGAGTAAAAGCAAAATTCAATTTTCATGAAAACTCAAATTAAAAAAAATTACAACAAACACTGCACGCATTTGTTTTGGCACATAAATTGACTAGAAATGGTTTTTCTTTGTTTTTTTCTGGATCATATTGTAGATTGAGAAAAAAAGTGATAAAAATGAATAGATCTCCAAATAAATTCATTGGTGGCCATGATCTCTTACATGTACTCTTGGATGCTACCCTTCAAATATTCATTCCACAATTTCATGTTTGAAAGACTTTGTTTAAATTCCTTGAAAATTGTGTGTATACAGGTGATTTTTTTGATTTTTTGCTAATCTCATCAGTGAAATAACAAAAATATTTTTCTTTTTAAAAAATATCGCAAGTAAGACACCATCGCAATCATGAATTGTACAGCTTTGAGCACATGTACTTGGCTTGACCTTTGACCTGACGCTATGGATTACCGGTAACCGCTTTAATCTGGGCAACCAGATATTTTTGAGTAGTTGAGGAAATTGATGTCTGTGTGTCATTTAAAAGTAAACTTTATTATTTAAGTTTTCTCAACTTTGTTTGCTTAGGTGGTCATACATTGCAAAATGTCATCAAATATACCAACCAAATATATATTTTTTTCTTTTGCTTTCAAAAGAGCTGTACTGTTCTATTTTCAACTATGTGCTTATATTTCTGTTTGACACCAGACAAAAAAACAAAACACGTTTTAATTCTCTGTTCGAACACAGTTCTAAACTAGGAACTCGTGAATTGACCTCTATGTGTCTGTCCCTTCGGACATGTATATTGGATATGCCTTAGCCAATCACATTCATATATTTAATGATCCATTTCATGATTGCCGAATGGCAGCCATTTTATTGTAAACAATTCATCAAAATCAATCATTTCTGCCATTTTATAGATGGATTTTGTTCAAACTTAGTACATATATTAAATATTATGGAACCTTGATGCACATCAGTTTTTTTTTTAAATCAGATTCAAAATGCTTGATTGGCTTCTTATTCAAGATGGTCAAATGTGCTACAATCATTCTAATACAAGCACTTCGGGCCTTACATGTCTGTTAGTGAATGAATCTCGGCCTTGGATTTGGCTGTTTTATCAGGTCTCATACCACTAATTAGAACTTCATACACGACAATGTTAGTGTTTAGGACAATTTCGCCAAGAAAAAAGGTTACAAAGATCAAAATATTGTTTTAATTTGTTGAAACCACGTGTATGTAATAGAATTCTGGCCAGTGAAACACATGTTGGCCAGCTCAAACTTCTAGAAAATGAATGCAAACAAAACACACAGATATGTCAGTCTTTCTGCCTTCAATATTCTCAGTAATGCAGCCAGTTTGGAAGTCTCTAATTGAGAGTTGTCCAGATCCACAGGTCACCGGTACTTGTCAATAAACAATGCTACACACACAAGTGTAACAGCTGAGACGTAATTGGAATTCCCTCATATATCGCGTTTTAGATAAAACGTGGTGAAAGCAAAACCATTTGCTAACAATAATCATAAGATTTGAAGACTACGAACACTGATAGGCTGATTGATGGCATGTGACCATCAAGTGGCACACTCACCCAGGGTAGGGGAAAGGTTCAAAACTTTTAGCCCCGTGTCAACTTTTTAGCTCTGCTGTCGACTTGAGTAATTGTCCGTCATCGTCAGTGTCAATGTTTTACTTTTTCGACTTCTTCTTGGGAACTACAAGCCTGAATGCTTTGATACTTGGTGTATATGTACCTTGGGGAGAGCTCTTTTAGAATTGTTCATTTTGTAATGATATCTTTAATTCTCTAATTTTGGTGAATATTTTGGTCATTTTTGGTAAAAGGTAGTAATTTTGATCTCTTGTTAAAAACTGCAAGTCTCATTGCTTTGATAATACATATATAGGTACTACATGTGGACCTCTCTCAGATTTGTTCATTTTGTGATGATATCTTCAGTTCTCTAATTTTGGTGAATATTTTTGTCATTTTTGGTAAAAAGTGATATTTTCGACTTCTTGTTGAAAACTGTAAGTCCGATTGCTTTGATATTACATATATAGGTACTACATGTAGACCTCTCTCAGATTTGTTCATTCTGTGATGATTTCTTTGATTCTCTAATTTAGATGAATATTTTTGTCATTTTCAGTAAAAAGTGATATTTTCGACTTCTTGTTAAAAACCGCAAGTCTGATTGCTTTGATATTATACATATAGGTACTCAGGTTTATCTTTCAGATTTGTTCATTTTGTGATGATATTTTCAATTCTCAAAATGAAATGTACATTGCTAACAGCGTAGCTGTCTGGTGTAACAACCACTATGCAACTAGTGAGCTGTTATCTTCACTGTATGTATTTACATAGTACACATGGTGTACACATGTGTAATCAGGTGTTTTTCTAGAAAAAAATCTGCAAAAGGGAGCACTGCAATTCAGTGGCGCCACCAAGTGGGGGAGATAGGGTTCTCCCTACCGGGTGTGCAGTTTTTGATAATTCTAAGTTAAAATGGAGCATTCTATGGCTTCCTTGGGGCTTGTGGCCACATGTGATCCCTGGTCAATAAGAATTTTATGGTTGCCGGAGGATCTGCTCCCCAGGGTAAGGGGGCGCACGGCCATGTCATGAGGGCGCTGCATCTCTGTTCCTTTGTTTAAAAAAATCCCTGTGTAATTATGACTGTCCCGCTAAGTCATTAATCACCTACATGTATGTCTCAAAGTCATGATTATTTATCTGCTATTTTAACTGAGCTGATTTGTTAGTTATTTCACTGTTTTAGGAGCAAAATGCTACAGTTGGAAAAACTCAAAAATCAACTATTGAATGACTTCGTAGATACAGAAAAAGAAGAAGAGATGCTGAAAGAATATAAAAAAGAAATGGATTTGTTATTGCAAGAAAAGATGGCACATGTAGAGGAGTTGAGACTCATACACGCTGACATAAACCTTGTAAGTATTCTTAGACTACTAATATTCACTTGTCAGAATGCAAGTTGAATCCTAAATAATTTCGTCAATGATTTCTTTATGTATTCAATGTATTTTAGGGTGACAAAAGTGCATAGTTTCAATTTTTACTAATGTTGATGAACAATTTTTACTTCAAGAAAGGGTTATCCTTTTGAATGAAATTTTTTATCAACATTGTTTATGCTTAATATGTATTTCTCTATAATTTCTGCAACTTTTACACCGAATGCTATTAAGAGTTCATTACCCATAACGTATTTCTGCCCTTTCAGTGACTTTTCCCTTATTTTAATTGTATGCCCCTCTTCAGGAAACATATACCGGATTCGGCTGATACCCCGCCCATCCTAAACCCCGCCCATGGGCGATGTTTCAAATAGTGGGCGATGTTTTGCTCCACACATTGCCTGACTGAACCAGCAAACATTTTTACAGACCCAATTTTCCTGTCTGACATCTTGTATCGAGCGCGCTATTTCAAATATGACGCTAAAAATAATTCACTGTGAAGTCAAAAAGCATAAAACTCCAATAAAACCAATGCTGTATACGAATTGTTGTTGCGTATTATTACTCGTTAAAATACATTTCACTTACGTTTATTAGACTCCAATAAAGTCTACGCTTGAAAAGAATGTTATTTACGAAGTTTGAAATAGCCAAGCCTTCCTAATTCGAGCCTCTTGGTTGTTATCAGTAATGTTTAATATTTGCCTGTATTGCATTCCAGACAAAAAGTTCAAGATCGGTGAACAAGAAATGGGCGAACTAAAATGTCTCCTGCGTTTCACATGCGACATGATTATTAAAAAAAAAAACAGAGTTAAGCGGTCATGTAGTTCTATAAATCTAACCTGTTTTTTGTCCAAAAAAGATCCAGTTATCTCTTTGCGTTTATGGTATTTGTGAGAGTTGAAAGATTTTTTTAACAAATGACAAGTAATTATATTGATTTGCGTCAAGCTGGATGGCCCGAATATAAATATCAGTGCGTGAACTCTGGAGGTCGTTGCCCAATGCCGCACGTAATCCAAACACGTGGTTATTAGAGTTCAGACTAAATGTACGTGAATATTGCGATCGAAGTGCGCTGTCCAGAGTTTATTACATTATAGTAAAATTTTACTTGATGCATAGTATAGTTTATATTACATGTTCACTTCATTTCGAATAATTCACCATTGGAACATCGATGAATCACAAGTATTTAAAATATTTTCTTGACTTTACGTAGACACCTGACTACTATCCTTTTCAATGATTTAAATGCGCCCATGTTTATGTTTGCGTAATTATTACGAATGCAACGCATTATCAAGTCGGTAATATTGAAATATTCACAGACCCAATACCCTCTGGTCAGTGCCCGAACAATAGTAAAAATAACTTGAGTTTGCGTATTTATCATGAAAGCAATACATTACACAGTTGAAATATTTAGAGCCCGTGCAATATTGTAAACAAATTTGCATAATTTGAAAAGCAAGTAAACGACGTTGATATATTCAAAGCCAGTACAGAGTTGCATACAAGTCGGATATAAATAACAATTTTACTAGATCGACGCGCGGACCACGAAAGAAAATGGTTGCTAAGGTAACGCGCCAGTTCAGTGCGTGACTTGGGGTCAAACCTCGGTCAATACACACGCCGCGCAGCAAGTTTTGCAAAGACGTACTTGAAGTTCAATTGCGTCCCAAAATGATGTCGCTGATCACTGTTGTCGCAGCGTGTGTTGTGTCATGTCTATGATGCGACCCGTTTCGACTTTGGCTTGCTTTTCCCAATGTATTAAAACACTTTGAATTTATACTTTGCATGATTATATTTGGTCAACACAAAACTTTATTTTTTCTAAACATTTTCTGAAACTATTTTTATCAACGCAGGGTTATTTTTCCAGACAATATGGGCGCCCGGGCGATCTTTTGGTCCACATTTTTCTAAAAAAAAATCGAATCCTCCATAAGATCGCCCAGGGCGGGGTATCAGCCGAATCCGGTAGTAATCTTGAAGGGCATGTATATACATTACTTTGCTTGGAGTGCAGTGGAGTATTATGGTTCGCGTTAGAGGTGTGAGGGCTTAAAGGGGTACTTCCAGTTAAGCCTAATCTCACAACAAATTTACTTTCTGGCTTAAAATTACAATGGATAACAAAAGATTGATTAACATTGTGAACAGCATAAACAATAGTGTCCCATGATTCTTTGGTGCAATCCCTAGTCTTGGAAGGTTCCCCTTTAAGGAACTTGTTCACCCATTGCCTACAAATCTTGATCAAACCTTTTTTAGCTCCGCTGTCGACTTTGTCGAGCGGAGCTTATCATATGTGTGATTGTCCGTCGTCGTCCGTGTCAATGTTTTACTTTTTCAACTTCTTCTTGAAAACTACACGCCTGAATGCTTTGGTACTTGGTTTATGTGTACCTTGGGTAGACCTCTCTTAGGTTTGTTCATTTCATGTTGATATCTTCAATTCTCTAATTTTGGTGAATATTTTTGTCATTTTTGCTAAAAAGTGGTATTTTCGACTTCTTGTTAAAAACCGCAAAACCAATTGCTTTGATACTACATAAATAGGTACTACATGTGGACCTCTCTCAGATTTGTTCATTTCGTGATGATATCTTAAATTCTCTAATTTTGGTGAATATTTTTGTCATTTTTGGTAAAAAGTGATATTTTCGACTTCTTGTTAAAAACTGTAAGTCTGATTGTTTTGATATTATATATAGGTACTACATGTGGACCTCTCTCAGATTTGTTCATATTGTGATGATATCTTCAATTCTCTAATTTTGGTGAATATTTTTCTAATTTTTGGTAAAAAGTGATATTTTCGACTTCTTGTTAAGAACCAAAAGTTCAATTGCTTTGATATTACATATATAGATACTACATGTAGACCTTTCTCAGATTTGTTAATTTCGTGATGATATCTTCAATTCTCTAATTTTGGTGAATATTTTTGTCATTTTTGGTAGAAAGTGATATTTTCGACTTCTTGTTAAAAACTGTAAGTCCGATTGCTTTGATACTATACATATTGTTCATTTTCTAATGATGTCTTCAGTTCTTTAATTGAAATGTGCATTGCTAACAGCGGAGCTATCTCAGCCGACAGGCTGCTTGTTTAACATGAAGTATGAACGGACTCAGTTGTCAGTTTATTTTGTGAAATGTAAAGAAAGTTGACATTGACATCATTAGAGGTTAAAAAATAAAATGTGTATCCCTGTAGGTGTGATTTATAGGAAAAGGTTGCTATAGTTATCCACTCATCCGTGATGATTTTACTTATTCAGTATCCACTGTTAATATAATTGTCCATTGAATACAAGAGATCTCAGAGTACTGACAGAATAATTGCGATTTTCCTTCCCATTACCCAGGAATGCTTACAGGAGCCATCTGTCTGGCATGTTTACACAACTCATTAGTTTTAGCAGTGATTAGTGTTTCACAGTTCTGTGAATTCCTTTATTTGTAGATGGAGACAACCATCAAACAAGCTGAGAGTGACAGGAATAGATCACTAGAGAAGGCAAGGAGGCTACATGATGACTACATGCCTTTAAAACAACACGTAGATAGTTTACGTGCAAGCCTAGGACTTGAAAAATTACCAGAACTTTATCACGAAGAAGATAAACTCACACCAGAGTAAGTATTTCTATGATCTGAACACTCTTCTGTGTTTGGTTAGCATATTTAAATTCTACGCTCATATATACATGTAAGTTTTACGCATCAGAACAATCAATAAACCGGTGACATATTTCGTCAAGTATCTGTCATCATGCACAACATTTTTTCTGTAAAAACCATTTTTTTAGTAAAAAGTCCATTACATTGAATAACTATTTGTCATGAGTTGAATGTATCGCTATTTAAGTGTCCAAATACCATCAATTGAGGCACAAACTGACAAAACGCTGGTGTAATTAAAAGAATGCTTTTTCAGAGTTTGAACTTTTGTACCACATGTTGAAAAGTTGTTTTTTGTCAAATCTTTAATTGGAGGAGTCATCACCTGCACATGCAACAGACAGCCATAGCATGTTGTTTTTTGCAAAGAAGGGTCTACCCATGAGCCTTGGTATTTTTAGCATACATTGCTATCTTAGGACTCAATTCCCGTGTGTGCACAGGTGTCAATCCTCTGCTATAATTTAGCCATTCTCTGTCGGTTGAATAGCTAAAGGAAAAAAAAAAAATAATATTTCTTAAAATTTAAACTACCGGTAAGTCCAATTAATACAAGGATTATGGTACAGTATTTTATAGAAGAATGCCATATACTGTATGGGGCTTAATTATTCACTGGAATTTTACCCCTGCATCGTTAATTCTGTAAATATTAGACCCAATAAATATATTTCACCTTCTACGGCATTACATATTATTTGTTTTTTATCACAGTTATTTTGATAAACAGAGACCTAACTACCAAGCTGAAGACACTGCATCTGAACCAGTCTTACCGTCAACACTGACCACTGTTGCCGCAGTGTCCGTAGCGACCCAACAGATGCCAGTCACTGCCAGAGTAAACAGACCATCAGTTGATAGACAGCCTACAGGATTCAGGCAACAGCCGCCGCCTATGAAGGTATGTATAATTATCTGGTTTGATCTACAATAAAAGTGGTAGCATCACACAATAGCATCACACAATAGCGTCATACAATTTGTAACACAACACATATAATCTGATAGTGTGTTATGAGAATATTTTGACATTTACCATACAATATGTGTGTAGTATGTCATCAAAGAGATTTTGGGTTTAATTCTCATGGTTGGCTGCATACTCAGCATTATAAAAAGTACATCGCTCACTTGTCAGGGTCATGGCATTGGTATTTAGGTGAATGGTATCCTTTTGGACGGGGATGTAAAGCTAATGGTCGTATGTACTGCTCCTGTCGTCAGTACACATAAAGGATCCAGCTGTACTTGTCACATGCCTTCTGACATGTTCCCCTCAATCCATGTATATGCTTGAGTTGTGCAGTCCTTCACTTCTGCGTCTGTAAATGGGCTTCGAGTCTGTGGACATTGAATGACAGTATGAGAGGGTAATTTGCATCAAAAGTGAATGAATGAATGAATGAATGAATAAATAAATAAATAAATAAATAAATAAATAAATAAATAAATAAATAAATAAATAAATAAATAAATAAATAAATAAATAAATAAAAAATAAAATAAAAAAATAAATAAATAAATAAATAAATAAAAGTATTGATCATTAAGTCATATTACAGTACGAGTATATGTATGGCCATCAAAGACATACATTGCAGACTCGTGTATTAATTGTATGTATTACAAGTTTGATTCTAGAAAGTTGCATGTTGTACACATTCATAATGCAAGGGCACTTGAACAACTAAAAAGAAATCACCATCTTTATCAATACTCCAGAAAGGTGATCAGTGACATCTACTGCGTACATCAGACACCATATGGATCCATTTGCTTATCTGAACTATATATCTTCACTTGCATTCATTAAATGTTCTCGTTAGCAGTTGCAAATGTAGGAAAATACATACAATATATTACTTTATACTGTAACCGCAATCAATTATTTAAACCTTGGCGAATATGCATGATACGAAATGAAACTCATCGGACTACATCTTCTCTCTTCACAGGCTTGCCTTTCCTGTCATCAACAGATCCATCGCAATGCTCCAATATGTCCGCTATGCAAAGCAAAAAGCCGATCTCGAAATCCAAAAAAACCCAAAAGAAAACTGGACGATTGAAACTAGGACGCAGCTTCTCAGGACTGTTATTAGTTATTACATTTATTACTAATTTTTAGTCTATTGCTCTTAACTAATTTCTCAGAATTTCTTTCAATTTTAAATGGGCAAGTCCTTTTCATGAAAAATACAACTTACTTACTTGAAAACTTATTTTGATGCATTCACAAAACTATTCTCAGATATTATGTCTGATGTCTCAAGTGAAAACAAGGTATTTCATTCATTACCGGTACTACTTGAAATGTGAATTTCAGAAAAACTTAATTAAAAAACATTACATTTTATTTATTTATTTTTAGTTTAATATGATTATTCGGTACCCAGTTGCATTGTTTTTGTTAATCAGCATCCTAGTTGATTGTAAGATGTAGCTAATCTAGCTAATTGGCATTCTATCTTATATGATGTAGCTAATTGTAATTTTAGCTCAATTTTGATGAAGATAATCTAGCTAATCAGCATCCTACTTCATTGTAGGATGTAGTTAATCTAGCTAATTGGCATGATATATTATAAGATGTAGCTAATTGTAATTTTAGCTCAATTTTGATGAAGATAATCTAGCTAATCAGCATCCTAGTTCATTGTAGGATGTAGCTAATCTAGCTAATTGGCATGATATATTTTAAGATGTAGCTAATTGTTATTTTAGCGAAATTTGAATGAAGATAGTCTAGCTAATCAGCATCCTAGTTTACTGTAGGATGTAGCTAATCTAGCTAATTGGCATTCTATCTTATAGTATGTAACTAATTGTAATTTTAGCTCAATTTTGATGAAGATAATCTAGCTAATCAGCATCCTAGTTCATTGTAGGATGTAGCTAATCTAGCTAATTGGCATGATGTATTTTAAGATGTAGCTTATTGTAATTTTAGCGAAATTTGAATGAAGATAATCTAGCTAATCAACATCCTACTTCATTGTAGGATATAGCTAATCTAGCTAATTGGCATGATATATTATAAGATGTAGCTAATTGTAATTTTAGCTCAATTTTGATGAAGATAATCTAGCTAATCAGCATCCTAGTTCATTGTAGGATGTAGCTAATCTAGCTAATTGGCATTCTATCTTATAGAATGTAGCAAAATTTGAATGAAGATAATCTAGCTAATCAGCATCCTAGTTCACGGTAGGATGTAGCTAATTGTAATTTTAGCTCACTTAATAAAGTTAATCTAGCTAATCAACATCCTACTTCATTGTAGAATGTAGCTAATTGTAATTTTAGCTCAATTTTGATGAAGATAATTTAGCTAATCAGCATCCGAGTTCATTGTAGGATGTAGCTAATCTAGCTAATTGGCATGATATTTTAAGATGTAGCTAATTGTAATTTTAGCTCAATTTTAATGAAGATAATCTAGCTAATCAGCTTCCTAGTTCATTGTAGGATGTAGCTAATCTAGCTAATTGGCATGATTTATTTTAAGATGTAGCTAATTGTAATTTTAGCTCAATTTTAATGAAGATAATCTAGCTAATCAGCATGCTAGTTAATTGGTATTCTAGCTCTTAATATAAGATATAACTAATCTAGCATGTTCAGGTTCATATCACAGCATTTTTTATTATAAACTTCACACATTCCTTATTAGTCTTCTCCCTAAGTAAATTTTGCAATGATAAAAATCACCTTCAATCGGGGGTATTTGAATACAAAATGCATGCAATTACAATGAACCTTTCTCAGAGTCTTAGAAGGAACCCTGTTCCCCATCCATCACCCCCTTACAAAAAAACTGGAATCGTAGGATTTTCACAAATAAACACCTCTAATGCAAATATACATCCCACTATTTGTACAACTTCAGACAATCAAATATTTCACGTAATATTTGCAATGCCAATGCAAAGCCATAGGAATGATGCCAGTTTACCTTTTCAACGCCATCATTTTTCCCCCCAAAGATTTTGCCAATTTTTATGTATTTTTGTATAATTTTTTTGATAATTTTGGCCCAAATGGACATAATCTTATTGGCTACAGGTCTTGACAATTTTTTTAGAGAAATTGTGAAAAAAATTATATGGGTTGAAAATTTGGGAATGTTGAGACTGTAAAATATTTAGTTTATGCAAGTATAATTTATGCAATGATACACTGCCATATCCTGACAATCTATGTCTTTTAGTTTTTATTATTAATATTCAGTTTAATATTTGTCTGATATACATATGATATATAGCTGATTTATTATTATATGTAAATTTTGATTCATAATAATTTTTGACATATCAAATTTGTAATAATTCTGTATTTTTCATTGATGCGATTTTTTGATCTATTTGTAGTTCACAATTTTAACAATCATTCATTTCTAACTTAAATAAATGTTTTTTGCAGCAGTATCAGCTGACTGAAATTAAAAGCATTGGGTCTGTCGTTTGATATGATGTAGAAGTCCCAGGAAAAACTGGTTTTAAAATATACAAATGTATATAGGTGAATGGTTCAATTTAAGTTGTCGATTTTTAAAGCGAGGGAGTCTTCACCTGCGCATGCGTCAGATGGCCATAGCGTGTCAGTGTTTACAAACAAGCATCTACCCATGAGCTTTTGAATTTCTAGCGTGTGATATTATCGTTGCTTGGGATTCAATTCCTACGTGTGCACAGGTAACAACACTCTCTCTTTAAGTTAACTATTGATGGAAATAAAGCTACTCCCTTGGTCCTATTTACAAGGTTAAAAGTTATGGTATTGACATGGGAAAAATACCTACCATATATATTTAAGTAGGGCTTTTCCTATAACTATCTTGTAACCAACATATATAATGATGTATGCAGAGCTGTGATACAGGAGTGATAGTGCTGCATGTGCACATGCTGTGTAATGTTGCTGCTCAAGAAGAAGAAGATGCAACTGAACTTGAAAGACAGGTACTTATAAAGAACCTGGCATGTATTTTTCTGACTTGCTATCTTGCAAAACAAACGTTACATGCCACAGTAATTTATTATGGCTGAATACCTGGCAACGACTCTGATCATGAAAACAGTTTGGTTTTCTCAGTTGTTTGTTAGCTTAATCCCTTGAGCAAATAAAGACACAACATATGTGCTGTCATGTTTCAGTGAAAAGAAATGAAGTACTATAATTACATGGTTGGATAATTATAAACAGCATATTTTTTTGCACCACAAATGTTCCGTCCTCTCCCACCAATACATTCCATTTTTAAAATACCATGATTACATATACATATATATCAGTTGAAAAGTAGACACCATGACAGGAGAAAATGCATTTTGGCTTTCTCTTAACTTTTTAACCACCTCTTTTCATCACAAAATGGGACAAAAAATTTTGAGTAAAAACTGACAATTGACTCAAATTTTGTCTATTGGCTTCCAAATTAGGGTTCATTTCCAGTAATACTGAAGATTATAAAAAAAAAAAGTGCAGACAAAATTTGGTGAGAAAGTACTTTCTGTCTCTGGTCCATTTAATATTTCCTTGTCTTAATTCTTTGAACCATTATTATTTCATACTTTGAACACTTTTTTATGCATTGTTTCAAATAATTTCTTTGTTGAATTTAGACCATTATGTAGACAAATTATGAACATTTATTTTGTTTATTAAAGGTGTGTTTGGCATTTAATGTCAAAGAGTTAACTATTATTATACTGGAAATAATAGAGAAATTCATTTCATTAAAATTGTCCTTTAGATATTGTTAATATTTTCTATAATTCCATATCTCTTCTTTGCTAGACCAAATAAGGACACATGACACCTTGTTGAGAGTCAGATCCATGAGGCTTGTTTTTCCCCTTTAATAGTTTTTGCTTCTCATTTATCGTCTGGTTCACTGTTCATGTTTATTTCTTGAATATGATTATACACACATTTTTCATGTGATTATATACACTCGTGGTTTACATTATCAATATAAATATTACATGCGTTGTTAACAATCTCTACATAAATATACGTGTGGATTACAAAGTTCACATGAATACACACGTAATTAACAATCTTCATATGATTATTATCGTAGTTTAGTCTCCATATAATATACATGCGGATTGCCATCTTCATATTAATACATATTTTTGTTACCTCCATGTGAATACATGTGTAGATTACAATTTCCATATAAGTACATATGTTATTTATAATCACAATATGAATACATGCGGAGTATGCAATCTCCATATACGTACATGCTTTGTTAACAGCCTCCATATAAATAGACGCGGGGATTACAATCATCATATCAATATACACGTGGTACACACTATCCACATAAAAATTGCACGCGTTGTTAACAATTTCAACAATGAATACATGTGTACCTCTTCATATGAGGATACATTATGTGGAATGCAATCACCATACAAGTTCACGTGTTATTTATAATCTCCATACGAATGAATACACGAGCAGTCCAGTCTCCATATGAATACATGCATAGTTAACAGTCTTCACATGAACACACGCGATGTTCACAGATGCCATGTGAATACGGACATAGTACACAGTCTCAATGGGAATACACACGCCGTTTACAATCTCCATATAAATACACGCGTAGTTTACAATCTTTATATGAATGCACGCGTGGTTTGCATTCTGCATATGAATAGACGCGTGGTTTACAGTCAGACATTAATACATGCATGGTTTACACACGTGCTTACAATATGTGTGAAAAAAGGATAACTTTCGTTTGCATATAAAGAATGGATGCATAGTCAAAATAATGGATAATGTACGGTGTGGATGACGTCATTGGAAACTCACCTTTACATCCCATTGTTTCATTTCATATCTCAACGTATCTGAGAAGCTTTCCATGGCGTACTTCGTCATCGAGAAAGCTGCACATCCGGGTACTGAAGACAGACCACGCACATCATTGACGTTCACAATACGTCCTGAGTATGAAAATACAATATGTTATTGAATCCATGTCTACTATTAGAAAAGTTTTTTTCAATTATTCAACAACAAATTCTGAATCGTTTTAATGTTTTAATTCAATTGAACCATAGACCCTCAACAACATTTTTTTTTAATTTTGTGATTTCATGTATTTTTTTAAAATTGTTTCCTACTAGTTTAATTTGTGTAACTGTCAGTAGATCACAAAAGCCCACAAATCTGAACAATCTACATAGGAGACCTCATTCAACTCTCGCAAACTTCGTTAACCAATCAGAGAAGACATTATAATATACAGCCATGATTGGACTTCGACACTTGCGTGCAAATGAAATAATCATTGTATACAATGTTTTTTGTTTTTTTTAGATCGGCTGCTAGTTATCTGGGATCTCACGAATGAGATCTTCAGGCTTTCATAGTCATACAATAAAAAAATAGAAGTAAGAAAATAAATTCAAAAAAAAAATAACATTTATAATTTACAATATGAACAACTAAAAGAATAAAAAAAAGAATCCCAAGATCTGATTAAATATCAAACACATAGCCACCGGCAGAGGGCGCAAGCAATTTAATCGCAACGGAATGCCGGAAGATTTCCACAAAGACTAAAATGATGGGTAAACAAGAAAATTTACAATAAAGAATAATTTAGCCTTGTCGTTCACGTAACACTGAAAAAAAAGATCCGACCACACATTTTTTCAAGCGTCTATCCCGTTACAGTATATGTACACGGGTGGTAGGTTTTGATTGAAAGCGACTATATGGCTGAATAATCTTTTAAAGCGCTGTGGTCGTCGCGCTGCGCATGTGCGACATTTGTGTTGATAAACATTGGTTTTCCCACAATCCAATGTGCTCTTAAAATGGAAATCACAAATATGAGGTTTGACCTGGGCGCGGCGATTTGCACTGAATACCGCCGGCGACTCTTTCGATACCTTCCAATCACCTAAAAATTACCTACTTAGAGCTTTGAAACGTCTCAGTTCGTACTCATTGTTCTGCGCAACAGTCAAAGTCGCCATCTTTGTTTATATGAGACCCATATATCTCGTGCATGCGTAGCGCGACGACTACTTTTTCATATAAAAAATGAACGTTCCTACTACAATACAATACGCGTGACTGTGGCTGAACGGTCGAAGACAGTTTGTTAAGATCTATGAATATTCTATATGAAGAAGGCCTACACAATCATGTAATAAATTGTCCCTGAAAATTACTGCTTTTATTTGAGGCGTATGCCACAATGTCATTGTCATTGGACAGCTGCGTACAATGAGTACCTTGGATTCGTCTGATAAGAGGTAACACTGCTTTTATAACGCGTACTACGCCGTACACATTAACCTCGGCCACATTCTTGTACGTTTCAAGTGGAAGCCATTCGATTTCACCCCATGACGTGACCGCAGCGTTGTTAACGACACCCCACAATTCTGCGAAGTAGAAAAGCATTAACAATGAATACATCGGGGTACATCAGTCTGTTTACGGACACTGTGTATATACTGTGTCACAAATGTAAACACGGTTCATCTATCATGTGCACTTGCCTAACTTTTAATATTATTGAGACTGTGTAGTAAAATGTGATCGTTGAATACAACGTACCGTTGTTGCGGCGGTCCAGACAGTCATTTATTAACTCCATCGCCTTGGCAACCGATTCGTCAGAAGTAACGTCCAAAGGAATCACCACAACTTTTTTTGTACATTCGTCAACTAATCGTTTAACATATCCTTTATCTGGACGAAAGACAAAATTAAAGGCGGTATTAAACTACCATTTACGATTCTAATTGTAAAAAGAAGATTAATAATAATACGCAATGTGAATTCATCCTCTCGTGTTAGATAAATAATCTAATAGCGTGATATGTCGTTGGTGGCGCACCATACGTTGCCATTGTCACGCTCAATATCGGAGTGACGTAAGTATCGCTCAGCGTGACGTCACCAGTGGCCACTCATTTATCTTTACCTGGCTGTAGAACAGGTGTTTGACTTTTTGAAAGTCTAAAAGTTGCGCCCCCTAACGACGAAATACGTCTGTTACGTGCAGAGTTCTGTTAATAAAACATACTGTTTATTTTAAAATTACTATATTTTAAATGAGGAATGAATGCACCATCAGAATTGTCTATTTAAACGACATTGCTCACACACATCTACTACGTCACGGTCATTCGACGTCACGGAAGTGCGTTGTCGATAGAGGGCGCGACACATTAGTGAAGTCAATTGTTTGAATTCGTTTTGCGCTTAAAATTATCTTAGTTTATTTATTAACACTTAACTTTCCCCGGAGGGGATGAAATCAGATATTTGTAACACAAAAATAACTACATGAAAGTTAAGAAACATAAACAAAGAAATTAGTAAAAAAAATATATTGAAATTGCAAATGCAATTGCTGAAATTCACCTAAAAAATTATAATAATTTATAAACAAATTGAGAGCAATGTCACTATGTGACACGTGCTCAACTGAATTATGGGTTTCTCCAATGTACCTGCGTTATGTAGTTGGTTAGAGTCCGGGGTTAAAAAAATGGTGACACTTTGAAAGATACACAACATGATCCCAATCAGTGCATACGAAGTACTCACCTGGGTGCTTTGAGCCAACAAAGATGGACGAAAACATACACATATCAAGTTCCTTCGCCAGATAATATCCAAGCTCGCTGTCGCCATTGGTAACGATGATGCTTTTCTTGATCGGCGTTACAGGACCGTACCCGTACCACGTAAAACGAGGGAAATATCTACACAAGAACAGGTACATAGATACCCATCCAAATGCACCTGAAGACAGAATCGCCCAACGCGAACCACCAAGCTCGGGTGATACGATGTATATTACCAAAGCCGCCGCCGAAACAAGGAGTAGCATGAAAACAAAATAGCAGTCCCGAAATCGTTTTTGTCCTTTCAGAGCGAGTTTGGTCCTTGCTTTCGCGGAGGCTTCCAGCTGTCTCGGTGTCGATAGTGTCATTCCGCAAGCAGCTTCGCATACGTGTGAATACAAATATATGGGTCGAGGAAATACATCTAGATGTACATCTAGGTCGAGTCTGAGTTCAACGAACTTTCAGAGTTTATGTTTTCAAAGTCCATATACCTGTACTGATTTACCTTGCGGAGAAGTTAATATTGACACGATTTTTGTTGTAACCATTTAGCTATGTGCACGCGGATCCTACTTTCTGACGTCATAATCTTTCAATTTAATCGAATTTTCAATTTGACGGCGTTTTCCTTAAATAATTAACACTCTTGTAGGACACATTAAGTTTCCTATTATTCCATAGGCTATTTCTGTAATAAAGGATATATTGTGTTAAGTATTAAAATCGACCATATACTGATTCAAGCTCCGACCCACTCTATTCATATCGCTTCCATCGTTTCAACTGCACTGGAAAACTACTACGTAGTGTTTAGCGATCATCTGTTTCAACCCTTTCAACACGTTGCAGTTGTTATTTGTGTATTTATGTATTTTATTATTCGAACTACATACAATCAGCAAGTTATTTATAATATAAATCTCCGCATGGCACATTCTTGATTTCATTAGCATGAAAGGTGCAATGCAGTAACCATGGATACTACGCAATTGAGTGAAGAGGAACTTCTTTTCTCACACAACTAATTGCTCATTCCTTTGTACACGTTTGCAGCGTGTTTTGACGAAATTTCCCACACATGTCTCCCTCAGTACCTCTAGTCATCTAGTTTACACGCGAACAGTTTTGAGGATAAGGCCCTATATAGGGACATAGACGTCAATGTTTTGAATTAGCAGACAACCACAATTGAAATGCCTTGCAAGAACCAATGATTTATTTTAATTTTATTTTTTTAGGTGAGCGCCATTTGAGGGCGTGCATCACCTGGGTCAAAGGTGGGACTCACGTGTGGTCTTTTGTTTATCAGTGGGTTTATTCAGAAACACTAGAAAAAGTGTCTAGTGTCTTTGGTTTATTCTATGTGTATTTGGATGTTCTAATCTTGGTGTTTTTCCAGTGATTTCTCTAGGTGCAATCCAAATACAGTAGGTATATCTTGTTTACCCGATTTTTTTGTATGGCATGTTGAGTTTCCATTTTAGAGCCAGGTTATCAACTTTGTTTATCATTTTCATATAGCAATCTGCTCATATATGTTTACATGTCCGTCTATGGATTTCCAATTGGGGACTATCTCGTTGTTGGGTTTCGCCAGAACACCACTAGGGGGCGTAACAAAGTACTCAGATGACAGTAGTGTTCGGCACTTGGAATGGGATTGAATTTGTACAACATCGCATTCACAAGATTGGCATCACTCGACAAGCATATTATTTCCAGATTCGGAACTACAAGCCATATAAAATGATTAACTGGCACTGCAATGCTTCTTGGTGTTCATTTAGTGCCATCATGAAAAAAATCTGGCGAAATATCCCCGACTTTAGCAAGTGACTTGTCATGCCTTTCCTCCAGCGAAAAATCGATCGCTCAGACAAAGTGGTTGCGTTAATGAGGCGAGGTGGTGCCTGGAAGCCCAACAAGTATTCCGGAATTTGTTCACTACATTTGGTAGAGACAATAGGTCTACTAAAGACCACCCAGTGCTGACTTTATTCGAATGCAAAAACCGAATCTTAAATGTCCGACTTTTTTTGGACACATTTGACGCGCAAAAGGTTCATGCTTCATCTTAAGGTCAAGATGTGCAGAATTAATCTGGATGTTGTCAGTTTTCAGTATTTTTCAGGATTTTCTGTTTCTCGCATATGAAGTACACTGTGGCCTATACTGGTTGTAATACGACCATGACGATATTTGAACCATTGTAGGAGAGTTTCTCTGCGCAGGCGTAATCATCGTCATACGTTGGATATCTTAAGTAGTTAACTCGTTTCTCATGTATTGAATAACATCTGAATCACCCAAATCGTTGAATTGTATGACCATTTCAAGTACAGAGCGTGGTTCTATATTTACAGTTTATAGATGCGACTTTTCTTTATAATAATTTGAACAGTGACTCGTTGTCTTCAATGTTGACGCAGAAGAGCTATGATTCCTCCGCACGATTTTCGTAACACAAACGTAAGATGCCAAATAGCATGGCAAATGAAAGTCGACGTCGATGAGAGTACACAAATTCCTCATCATCTCACACCATCGAAACTATCACCAATCGATAGTATGTCTATTAAAACACTCACCAACGCGAAAACCGCGACGCGAATGATCCGTTTAAAGTTGTTTAGGTCGCTGAACAGTACATAACTCTAGTGGCAGCTATTTTCATTAGATCGCACGAGGACAAAATTATTCGGGTTAATGACGTCATTGTAGTAGAACGTTATTTGTACATTTCTTCTCAAAAGGCCGTGGGCAGTATACACAAGCATCAAGTTAATTGAGGGCTAAACATCAACCTAATTAATTTTATTAAAACTTAAAAAACACAGCTATGAAATGTAAGGCCGCCAGCGTCACACATTTGAAAAGCAACGGCACGTCTCCGATGTGAGAACTGTGAACTGATTATGATTGAAAAGTCTTTAGGAGTTAGGACAATGATTAAAATATTTTGCACAGACCATGGAGCTAACTTTACAAAAACGTAATAACTGGTAATACTGTGATAGGCCGGTAGTTAGATGGGTCCGTTTTTTGCGCCTTCTTCATCTATTGGCACAATGTATCCCCATTTCCACTGATTTAGTACTATGTTGTTCCACCTCGACCGAATAAAAACGAAACGAAAATATTACACTGCCCCCTATTCCGCAACACCGATGAAAGACCATTGCCCAAAATGTCTGGTTATATTAAAGAATTATTAAGACGATAACCTATAAAATGTGTATCCATTATATTCACTGGAATCGGATTCAGCAACGTTCTTATTTTTGTTGGCTACAATTAACCTGTTCGCCAGCATACTTTCTCGTCCAATTTTGTCTGCACTTTTCTTTTTTAAATTCTTTAATAGTTCTGTAAAGAAACCCTAATTTCGGAGACAACAGACAAGATTTGAGTCAATTTTCAGTTTTTACTCTAACAATTTGGCTATTTTTTGTTCCAATATTCTGAAGGAAAGTGCAGACTATAAACAGGACTATTTTGTGAATTTGTGATGAAAAGAGGGAACTGGTGGTGAAAAGGTTAAAACGTTAAATGTAGTAGTTCACAAATCCCAGATAAAAAATATATGGTCTCCAAACTTTATTTTTTATGAAACCATGGTTTCCCAGTGATTGTTTTTCAGGTAGTTTTCTCCAACATATTTCTTTAGTGACTTCGGATAGAGAAACTGTTTTAATAAAACGGGTTGGTTCCTGACCGTCAATGACATAAGGCGTTGGCTTTAATTTAGTGTTACCACAGTTTGTCTAGTATGCTGTGTTTCTTTCTGACGACCTCAATAGTTTTCCAGGAAATATTGCTCGTTCAGTCAACCTAAACATGTGATTGAACCACACTAATAATGACATGCATTATCATGTAGGTTTCTCGACGTCAACTGACTGTCTTATCGACAAAGCATTCATCAGAGCTCGTGAAGGTTTCCGTGTGGATGGATACGTTCCCAAAGACAAACATGGTAACGTTCATGCAAACAGTGGAGTCACTATCGGTAGCGGTGTCGATATGGGAAACAAAAATGCCAAATACTTCCGGGATATGGACGTGCCCGAATCAACCATAACAAAATTCACGCCGTATTTTGGGCTGAGGGTTAGTATTTCTCTAATTGTTTATTATTTCTATTGGTAATAATAACCCACCTGGTATATAAGATGTATAGAAATTTTGCGGCGATAACTTCAGTACTTCCACAAATGTTAATTATACATAGCCAGTGTTATACTAATTGAATCTATACATAATTAAACAACGTGGAACCATGTATCGGTGTTCTGTAGTCAACACGAATGATGCCCCATGACAGTACTTATTTTAGAAAGATATTTTTCAACTTATTTCAATTTCTCGGGAGGTAATTACCCATTATTTGTCACACATTTCACGGGATTCATCTGTGACGGAGTCTGAAATTGACCTCTTTCCTGAGAAATGTTCCTGGGCGCTTATTGAAAAGAAGGCGTAACCAGAACAAAAAGGAGACTGTGTACACACCTGGGTGTCGACATATGTTCCGACTCCATATGGAGGCAACACCGTGACGGAGATAACTGTGTGACTGTGACCAATTCTCCTGTGCCTCTGTTGCTAATACACTAAACAAACACTAATTTCAGGGAACCGCAGCGCAAAACAAGCTAAATGAAATGCCGCTCCATCTCGAAAAAGACGAAGCAGCCGATCTGAGTAACCGTGTCATGGTTAATGAGATAAATGACGTCATGAGAGAGTACGACAATAAAGTGACGGAAATAGGTAAAACATTATATGAATTCAAAATTCGTCATTTCTATAAAATGTGAATAGAATTTATAAAGTCAACCAAATTCAGAAGAAAAATGTGGCGCGCGTTTTAGCCGAAATCTGAAAATATCAGAAATATTCGAATTAGGCTACACTGATTTAATTTTATGGATGACATTCTCTGGATACCCCAAAACTAATGCGAGAGGGCGAAAAAAAAATCCTGCTAAAAAAAATGCTGCTAAAACCACTTATCTACGGAGCTGGTAATACGAATTGAACCACAGAACACAGTTTATCAAAAAAACAACAAGTCTTTATTTGTAGGAAACACATGTTGATGTACACATCTCGTACTATATTACTGTCACAGGTATCATGAAAAGGCATTTTGAAAAGGCAAGAGGATAAGGTAGATGTTAGCTTTGCCAAAGGCATACACATCAATTCAATAATGAAGAAAAACTGACTGTGTTGTATTGAAAAAAAAAAGAATTAAAAATGAACAATACGTTTGTCAACAGCAACTTGGAAATCAACTTCAAACTCACTACAGTTTTATAAAGTGACACTTCAGATAGACAAAGTGTAGACACAAATGCTC